AGACATGGATTCAAGGCCTGGAAAGTACTTGAAAACAAACATAGGTCCTTGAAAGTGCTTGAATTAAATTTGAAATAAATTTTGTTTATGGCTCTATTTAAAAAATTGTCCTATATGTTCTGTCAGAGACCGAACAAGCGGCACTAATGATTGGGGGTGGAGATGGGGGAGCGCTAAAAGAAAAAAAAACGTGGGTGTTGACGCGCAGCCTAGAGCCCTGAGCGGGACAGTTTTCTTAAGCCCGCTCCCGCTGAATTTCTAAAAAGAAAATACCCCTGTAAGTCACTTTAAGTAGTCAGATGTCACCTCGTATTAGAAAGGCTAATTCTTGATCAGATTTTTTGATTATTGATCAGAAGGTGCTCCTACATGTTTTTAAATTAGAAGGACAAGCGCTCCTAATTACAAGAAGAAAAACACTGCTCTTAAACTGGGTGTGTGACGGGTATGGCTGTGGAATGGGGTTTGGCCAAGGAAACATTTTCAGTCGAAAGATTTTTTCTTTAACCCCATCATTTTCGCACAACAGGGTGTCAAAGTTAAGGCATGACCGTTGGTCAGCAAAATGCTCGCTGGGTCGGCGGGGTCAGAAAAAAAACAGCTGAAGAAGAAAAGACAAACGTTAACGGCAAAAGAATTAAGAATTAATGTGAAGAATTAGGTGTGAAACCATCAGGAAGCATTTAGTCTCCAGCGCCACTATTTTCCAGAACTGCAACCTACCTGGAGTCTCCAGAAGTACAAGGTGTCAGGTTCTCAGAGACTTTGCTTGGGTAAAAAATCCTAAAAAATGACCCTCTCTTAATTAGAATAACATGCTGAAGTGTTGTGAAATTCATGAAGACTATTTTTATAGGCTTTATGGACAGATAAGTTGAGAGTGACTCTTGAAGGACCAGCACCACATCCTCTTGTACCACTGTTTGAAGAATTGATCTTCCAGAATCTGGCAGTAAGTTTTAGGAGCTCATTTTTGTCAGTCTCTGCAAGACAGACTTCTCAGGATAGGAGATGGACTAAAAATGAACTCCCAAAACTTACTGCAACATGGAGCTAAGGAGAAAATGTAGAACTTGAAAAAAGGGAAAAACCGCTTAGTGAAAAGCGTTTACAGTTTAAAAGCAAATCGAAAGTCCTATTTTTTAAATTTCTTTTCTTAATATTTTGTTGCAGATTTGCACATGTACAAGGTTTAAAATGTTCATGAAATATTTTCAAAAAATACTGACTTTTTGAGCAGCTGCATGTTTGAGCAGCTGCATTCCTCTAGGTCAAAGATGAAAAAATGGGATTTACAATAAAGTAATTTACAAAATTATTTTGACTTGAGTTTATTTATTAATGAGTAACATATCTTTTGAGTGAATGTGCACATTTGTAATTTTATCAGCTTTTACCATGTTATTACAGCATTTAACCACTTTTTATGAATTAAAAAATTTAGATTCTTTCAAATTTAAATCTTGTACAAGAACTAAAGCAAAAATCAGTTTGATGCATATTTTATCAATATTTTAGAAATTTAATTTGAATATCACCAGTACTGACTTCAATGGATTTCATTAAATTCCTTTGAACACGACTGCTCAAAACGGTCTAAATGTATTAAACCTACACATTCCAAACATTATTACTCTGAAATTTTTTATGTAAATGTTAAGTGTAAGTGAAATGTTAAGTAATGTAAGGTCTTTCATGACACTACATATGCTGGGGTGTGAATTTGATAGGTGCTTGATATAAAATAAATGGTGCTTGAAAAAGTCCTTGAATCTGGTGTTCATGAAAGAGTGGGAACCTTGTTCAAAACAACAGCATTTATTTGAAATAGAATCATTTGAAACATAAATGTCTTTACTGTCGCTTTTGATCAATTTAATGCATCACTGATGAATAAAAGCATCCCAAACTTTTGAACAGCAGTGTATTGAATGGTGTAATACAGAAAGGAAGCGCCTCAGAAGGTTTGTTTGCAGTGATCAGGTGTTCAGCATGTGCTGTCTGCGTGTTTTGGTTGTGGTTAGATATCTGACGGTCGGGTCAGTGGTTTGTCGCAGGACTGTGTGAAGGGCTTGGCACATGTTTGGGACTTGACCCTACAATCCCATAACGGTTAACCTTTGACCTCTAACTGCTGCTGCGCTTGTGTCTGCATATGAGTCTCTGTGTCTGTGTGTCTCTCTCCCGACGTCCCTCAGTTTCAGCAGGCTCTTCAGCTCTTCATCCAGCACCACAGCGAAAAAACCAGATGCGCCGGTTAACATGAAGTACAACGCACCCACCTCACACGTCGTCCCTTCGGTGAAGAAGAGGAGCAGCACCCTCTCTCAGCTGCCTAGTGACAAATCCAAAGCCTTTGACTTCCTCAATGAGGAGTGAGTGACTTCCAGTCTGACCTCTCATTCAGATGACCTTACACTACATTATACTTTCTGCATTTATTCAGATTTTCTAACCTGAAGTATGACCCACATGAGTTCCATAAAACAGAGGAGAAAAACACTGCTGTAGCATTTTAGCGTGGGTCCAAAATGAACACTTAACAAGCATTGAAATTTTCTTTTACATGCAAGCAGCTCATGAATCCAGTGTTTTTAGTGTCTGTTTGGTTCAAAGTATATGCTGTTCCACACAAAATCTGTCTGTGCAACAGTGCATTACCAAAGTTGTAATAAGAATCGTCCATAAATCTGTCCTCAACAAAAGAAAAGCTTTAAGGTCTCCTAGCAGTTTTCAACCAAAAATAAGTGCTCTGTAGTTTTACATTTGAAAGCAAAGTAATTAAGAGCCATAAATAGTAGTATTGTAATTTTATTGTTGTTCTGTAAAATGAAATAGTTATAAATAATTATTAAAATTGTTTTTGTTGTTGTTAATAATAACAATAATAATAATGTTAATAATTGTATTATTTTATTTTACAATACAATAGTATTTGTTTTTATTTAGATTTTTTTCTAATTGAAAATGATAAAATACAATTGTTTTTCTGAATAATAAACATAATAATTATTGTTACTGTTATTATAATAAATATTAATTTATTTTAATATAATATATAAAATGGTAATAAACAATTTATATATATATGTGTGTGTGTGTGTGTGTATGTATG